TATTCACATAGGGATTGCATCAATTTAACTATTTAAATAGTAAAAATCAATCTGGCTAAAATACTTACTATGAAAGTTCTTCATACACAAGGCCCATTATAAAGATCACATCTTTTGCTAGCACTTTCCTTTGAGTATTTGATAGATTTGCTTTGCAGTTGGCATATTCAAATGGTTATATTATGGCTTTAGAATAACGTGTATGATTTACACTCTTTTTCTGTGTTGGTATAATCTGGTTTACAGTGTTAAAAATAGACATAAAGTTTTAAAACTAGACATAGTCTCACAGGTCTAAGTAACAAGCTAAAGACGGCTGCACTTAATGCAATCTAGTTTTTATATTACAAAGATCTTGCTACTCAGTGTATACATTTAATATATTTATTCATCTTTGCAAGTGCCCAAAGGCTCCACTAAATAACTGGGGGAAGGGGAGAGGAAAGATACACAGCTTTGCAACACATACAGAATTCTTTCATGTCCATCAGTTTTCTTGAAACATACTATTCTGTTTCTTTATAAAGACTGATACCAAGTGTTGTCAAAAAAAAAACAACAGAAAAATAAGCCAACACAAATCTGATGTAGTTATGAGATGGTAAATAGACTTTTGTACAGAAGACTCAAATGACTTAACAGGTTTGAATCAACTTCAAATTGCTGGACAGTGTTTATGGACTCAGTCATTGAATCTCATCACTGAATTCTTCAGATGACTTCAGGAAGTGATCAGCAAGAAGTTAAGATTCTTAAGCAGTGCCTTTCCCATCTCATAAAGACGGCTGAAATGTTGAAAGGTTTTCCATTTCAAAGCAAACTAAATCAAGGATATGTCAAGCTTTTGTATTTATAAATCTTCCCCAAAAAGGAAGTAGACTAATGAATGTCAACAGCCAAGACTTAAACCTGATTGCCCATATTAGACATTAAGTAGTTTTTAACTACTATTAGACATTACTGTAGTTTTTAACACATTGTTCACCCATATGAAAGCTTTCCTCTTGTCTCAAGGCAGCTTATGCACTTTAAAAGTTCTTGGTGGAACAGCTTAAAAAAAAATCTAAGTATATAGTGCAAGAAAGATATGCAGTCTGCCTATTTTTTCCATTCCTTCAATGATTTGCTAGGTATAACTTCCCTTTATTAAGATACACTGATCTTTTCAGTACAATCAGCTTTAATTTTTTATCTGTGCATACAATTACAAATAGCAGATATATATGTAATTCCAAAATTCCTTTCAAAAGATCTGCTACTTTGTCTTTTACTCATGCCAAAGAAGGTCTAAAAGAAAAGACTGCAGACTACAGATTTTTCAAAGATGAAATTCTTTAGAACTCAAGTTAATGCCATCTGGTCCAGCCAATTAACTTTTTCTATTAATACCTAAACTTGAGTTTCCCCCGTTCCAGTACTGAAACAACCTTGAGCTCTTCACTAGTAAATACACATGCAAAAGCCTAACTTTCTGGCAAGACCTTAGTTGGGTTCATGTTATTTTGTACCTTGATCACCTTGATGACTGTCCATTTACAGTGGCTTTGCAGCTCTCTAAAATTTTCTCTTATTGATATTTTCAAAGATGCATTGAAAATAATTATGCAAGCTCCTTGAAAAATGTTTACCTCTCTTTGCTGATGTCCTGGTTATATCCTTTAGTGTTATTCTTTAGATAGCATTCCAATTCCTTGAAGCAAAACTTACTTTTGTAGACCTCCTTATCAAAGTCATGGTAGATTTCTTCACACACACACACACACACACACACACACATTTCCTAAAGTATTTTTTGGTACATTATAATGCAATTACACTACATTTATCAACATTGTATTTTAAATACCCTACTTACCAATTGAAAACTTTCTGCCTATTGGTTTCCCCTCAACTCTCTTTTTAGCAGGACTTCCCGTTTGCACATAGTTTCCTTTTCTAAAGCTACATATGCGCTGGTTTAAAAAAAAAAATGTTTCTGTAGGAAGATTAAATAGAAATATGCTACTACTAATGTAAGAAGTAGCTAATTTTGAAGCATTTCTTGGGCAATGATCAACTAAGCCAAGATTTGTATCTGCTACCAAACTATGCCATGTGAAGTAGTTATTCATGAAATCTGAAAATTGAATCTGTGCACTGCACCTCCCGTGACATTTCTTGTCTTACCTAATTGAATCTTTTTATTGAGATTCCTTCTCATGGGGTGTGTTCCCCTAACACACTGAACTGACTATCGCTGTCCTGTTTCACAGCTGTATTACAGACAAATACTGGTTTCCCTTATATGTTACAAAGTCTATGTTACCCACTAACATGCTTCATATCTGATTTTTCTTAGTTTTAATTTGCATTCAACTTTCCATCAGTATCTACTCAGTGTTTCCCTTGCCTTGGTATTGCAATGTTTCACTATGTATATTTCTAGCATGCTAGTTTCTAGCATGTGTATTACGTTCAGAAGCTGATGTAAATTTAGGTTTTCCAATAGGTTTTCTTAGACTCATTTGCTGAAATGTACACATTTGCTTCAAAGACTGCAGCAACCTTAGTGATGTGCTCTTACACGTACAACAGCTTTTCCTCACTCTTTTGTCTATATTTAATTTTAATGCTAGCAATTCAACTTCGATTATTTCTCCTGTGCCTACTCCTTTATTTCAAAAAGTTCTCCATTTCATAATGAAGCCGATTCATTTTCCACAGAGCATATAAATTTCCTCAACTATATCTTCAAATGCTGCTTCACCTTTCAGTCTGGCCCCAAAAACTGGGAAGCCATTCCCAACTTGATTTTTACATTTCAAGTCCAGCAACTCTTCTACCTTTTCCTGTGTTACTGGCACAACAAATACAAGCACAGGTTGTTCACTGGTATGTCTGTTCCAACAAGAATAGCTTAGGAATGTCTATATATATTTCAGTATAATATTATTTTGATAACTAACCTGCCAAATAATATCACCACTTAGTGTGAATGCTGAAGTATTTTTATATTATTAGAGTTATTTTAATCACTGGCATGCACTGTGTGTTTGTATTTTTTCCAAATATTGGGAAATCAGTTAAAATAATATAATGCCACTGGGAAAAACATAATTTGCAAAATAAATCTAAGCAATTGACACCAGATGTTCTATTTTTTTCAAAATTTGCATTTTCAGTTTTATAATATTTACATTTTTCTTCTGGAAAAATGCTTAAGTAATCATACCTCAAAAGGATGGATTTTTTAGTTCTTCTGGCTTTTGGTAGTATGCCAGTGTAATTCAAAGACAAAACTCAGGTCATATTTCCAAAGTCAGTCACACTTACTGGTTTCATGCCCTACCGTACAAATACAGCATCTTTGATTTTAGCCATACGTAGTCTTATCTATGGATCTTCTAGAAGCAGAGATAAACAGCGTATTTTAATGACAGTGTTCTGCTGAATCTGAAGCGAAATGGAATCCAGGAACTGATAAGAATCTTTTCCTAGATATAAGAAAACCTGAATATTCCAGTCATGGCTGTTGGCTGTTTCTTGTTCATCTAGTTTCACCTGAAGGATATAAGTTATTTCAGCTAAAGAACTAAAGATTTTAATCTAAAATTAAAACTTTTTGATAGCCTTAGATCAGAATTCATCTAATCAAAAATTTATTTTTACTTGTATGCAGACATGCATGAGAGAGCTTGTTCTAAGCTGCAATAATTTTCTTCATAAAAGAAGAGGAGATGCCTTCTGAGGTCACAAAATGTTTACGGGTCACTGGAATTCCACAGTATGAGCTCTCAAACAGAGAGTTTAATATTTTTTTAATTCTTTGTGTGAGACAGATTAACCATTTATAGAAAAGGAAAAGCATTTTGTTTAGGTTCAAATGTTTACCTCTACATTCATTAAGAAAACCTTAGGAGACTACATGTTCTTATTTCTTGTTTCTTTTTTACTCCAAGAGTACATTCAGTCTATTTTTTAATTTACTTTAGGTTTAGAGTGAGCAATAAACTTAGCTGTAGGCAAAGAAACACAACACAGCATGAGTTGGCAAGGCCTTGAGAAACACCATATACCCAGTTCTGCCACCACAGTTAGCAAAAACCAGTCAATACAAAGTTTGGGCAATGAAATCCCAGAGCTAAGAGGTAGTCTCTGCTTATCTCCAGATTTTTAACTCACTTTAGTAAATAACATTTCTTCAGCATTTTACTTATTCTTTTAGCAAGATTCCCTAAATGTTCTTGGTTTACTATCTCAGATAAAATGAGAGTACTTACACCGAGGCCGCACAGTAGTTTCTGAGGTCTGGGCTCACATCTTGCACAAATTTTACTGACACCACCAAGCCACTGGACTGATGGCATCCTCAGACATCAGTTGTTAACAACTATATATTCACTGACAACAAGCGAATAGGAAAATAAAGCTACACTTAGATAATCAGAAGAAGAAATGGTAGAATACTTGAAACATACAGAGTTGTTTATTAATGTCTCTACCAGCTGTGTAATGTTGAGTCATAAAAAAAACCAAAAACATCTAAACCAGATTTAAAGCTTCTATTCAGTGCTGAATCCCTTCCTCTGTTTAAATAGCAAAAGGGATTCATATCCTTTTTTTTTTTTTTCCCCCAAGACGACCACTGATGCAATGCATCTTTAATTTTGAGGGTAGACAACAGGAAAAGCAAGATTATTCATTACAATCAAAATATTAATTAATTTTTCCTTGATGTAAAGCAATACAGAAATGGTGGTACTGCCTTCATCTTTTTCTAACATCAAGCATACAATTTTTACAAAGGGGCTTTATAAACTCCTGAGCAAGGTTATTATATATCTTTTCTCACATCAGAACAGATGTGAGAACAATGACCACTGTCAATTCCAAAAAATGAAGGATACAGGAGAAAAAAAATACAAAAATAAAATGGGTTAACTGACTTTGAAGGGGGTCTTCTCCTTTGGGATGTCCATGAAATGATTTTCAGGGGCTTTCTGGTTGCAATACATTTTTTTACAGTTTACTTAGAAGAACTGAAAAAAGTCTTATTTTTCATTAGTTCTGTGGACTGCCTCTGCGTCTTCTCCATGCTCTTTGTGGTCCTGGCTGTGCTAAAAGCTGTCTTCTTGCTGTGTTTTCTTGCAGACATTATTCCTGTTACTCCATTTTCTCCCATAAGTATTTCTTATTGAAAGTAACATTTAACTCTTGCACACCTGGGTTCCTCTGATCCAGTACATTGCAGCCAGAATAATGCAAGCAAGAAAACTTTGTTTGCTGCTGAGATCTATTGATTGTCTTTTTTTTTATCCACACATCAGCGCTTATTAACCACTATGACATTCAAAAGCTAGTTTTCCTCAGAATATTATTTAATCTCTTTTCTACTGATGCAAAAGAAGTCTCAAAGAGGGAACCTTGGAAGAAGTCAGAAATCATACTGTCCTCTTCACGGTACTGTTCAGCAGGGGTGCCATTAGAAATTCCCTTGTCATGGTTTCTTCCACTTCACAAGGAAGGATGAAAGAGAAACCCATAAAGCTGTCCTACAGTGAAGATGAAGGGAAATAAACAGTCATATGGACATCACAATTTGAAATATTTCTTTTATTTTACTAGAAGAATCAGATGCAAATACTTTCCCAGATCTCTCTTCAGTCACCTACTAAGGATTTTAATCCATTTCACCCATCAAGCCATAGGTATATTGGTTCAATATCTTAAAATATGACTTGGGAGAGGAATTGCTGAATGATTGCATTCACTGATTATCTTCAGTTTCTTTAGTACAGTCGGCACAATCTCTCCAATGTCTTCAGTTTGCATCACACTAATCAAGATGCAATAGAAAGAAAAACAAGCATTTGAGACCTGCTTCTGAAACCTGCAGGCCCACCTGAGACAGAGAATGTCTACCCTCACTAAGTAAACTATTATTCATAACATCTGCCTATCCAACGCAATGTGAGTTCCTGTCACTCATCATTGACATGTCTCTATACTAGGACTGGTATCCTAACACTGCATTATTATGTTTCATGAGAATACTCTTAATTCCCTTTGTATCACTATGCATGCTGATTATACAGTATCCTTTGACAATGGCAACATGTTCTAGTGTGATGTATTAATTCAAGAGGAAAAAAAAAAAGATATGCAAAGGCACTGTTAAAAGCACCATATATCTGGCAAAAATTGATTAAAAGCATGGAATTATTTTTTCAATAAACTTATTCTCCCAGTATGACAATAGTTTTTTACCATTGATCTCAGTGGTGTCAAGATGCCCAGATTTTGGGTTATTAATTAATAGCAAGGTATAACACTAGCTGTGTTGTTCTGTGTCAAGTCAAATTTTTAGAGGCTTTCTATTTCCCTTTAATTCCTATAGAGCACTTCTTGACTTATTAGTAAAATAACTTCTCTCTAATTCAGTTACTATGATTAAGTGTACATTATCAGATCACACTAGACAAATACTTCTGGCAGTATTTTCAAGCATCAAGTGACCATAATCATATATACTTGACATGCATAATTATAACACATTATTATTCAGCTAAGAATGAGTAGGTGGGACTCTCACAGTATGTCTTCTCATCATATTTTCTACAATAGATTACTACTTTTGTCTTTTTTAATATTTGACTTCTCTGCCCTTCACTAATGTCCTCAATGATTTCCTCCATCACGCATTTTACTACTTCACCCTACCCTAATTATTAACTTTAAACTCTCCACTGACCCTAACTTAACTCTCTGTAGATACAAAAGCTTTGGAAAAAAAAATCCTCAGTGAGAAAGTGTTTGCCAGATAGCTTTTCTTCAAGCTTTTGCAGCTTCAAATCTTATCACAGTAAACACTGAACCAAATACTGCATTGAACAGCACTATATTTAGTTGTATTACAACAGTAATGTCACTTTTCCAAGTGCTGTTGGACTCCAACGAAGCCACAGAATTTGTCTCCAAGGGTGGAGATCTTGGTACCTGCAGTTTCACTCTCAGCGATGAGACTTTGCAAGTAGTTAGTCATCTGATACACACCTCCTGGGATCAGGCACCGAATCTACTGTAAATTCAGTTCTTCTTTCACTTGCCAAAAGAATCCTCCTCCTACAACATATGTGTAAGCAGAGAATACAGAACGAAAAGTGTTTTATTTCAAAACTTCAGTGAACAGATTTCTAGTTTTATTTAGTTATTGTTACAAAAAAGAAAAAAAGTATTCCCTCTGGCTCAGGGCTGTATGTGAGGCTCCTGAGTGGAGAACAGATGAGCTAGACATGGTATGTATAAAATTGTAACACAGACAAGAATGTGAGATTTTACTCTTTCTTTCTCACATTATGACTTAGCTGAAAAAAAACCCCTTAACATCAATATTATGAAGTATTCTTTATTCTGCACTTTACGTGTTTCTAACCACTGTATTCAATGCAAACAGCTTAACTCCCGTGAAGAACTTGACCAGGGAGAATCAATGCATTTAATTGTACTAATCTCTCAGCAGAGCTAGTTTCAAACCTGCTGGACTGCTAACAGCTGTGGTGTTCTATGCGCTGAATTCCCATCACTAAATACACACTTGAACACCAAATGCAAGGGGTATAAGAACAGTAAGTCAACAGATCTTAAGTGATATCAGCAATTCCAGATTTATTTTGCAACTAAATCAAAATCTCAGTAATACTCAATGACACTGGTAACACCTTTTTTGGCTCCAGTTCTGTGTACCTTCAATGACCTTTAGTTCAATGCACACAATGTTCACCACTAATATACTTACATTTTGTTTTTTTTTTTTAATAAATGAACAGTATTCATTCATTTTGAGCAAAAATACAAGCCCTGTTCCATCTAGGAAAAATCTCTTAGTCAAAGACATTTAGTTTTAAAGCTAGAAGTCTTTAAATATTGTGCTGGATTACTGTAGTCTGGTTTTCAATTACAAGAATCCAAAAAAGCCTGATGGTAGACTGCAACTTGTCTATGAATCAGTTTAGTCTATATTCGAAAGACCATTTTAGATGGTTTCATGGCTTAAAGCAGACATTTAAAACGTATTCAGTTTCTTTATTGTGGCATTAAGAATATTAAAGTGACAATAAGAAAAAGGGACAATGCCAGGTAGTGACAGAGACATGGGTCTGTGTTTACTAGAGACTAAATAATAACAAAAAGCCTCCTTCTATGTTCCTGCTGGCTTAAACCCAACCAGAACAAACAATGAAACAAAAAGGAATAGCTGTCCTATCAGGGCAGAAAAAAAGTAACATCACTGTAACTAAAAGCGGAATAGCAGTGACACACTGCCCTTGTACAGAGATAAACAATGTTGCATCCACTTTTAGTATCACATAGGATCTACTTTGAAGTTCCACGAGTCAGTTACCAGTGCTTTCCTCAGGACATTAGAGAGAGAAAATTAAAACATGGTTATTTCAGCAGCACAAAGAAAGTTTTGTGTACGTCAAGCAAGACTTTTATCTCTGAGCTGGGACTCACACAGTAACAGACTATCTAGACCAGAGGAATCAATTTACTATTGAAGATATTTGTACTATATAAAGGATTCAATCTAGATGGCTTTCAGCAAATGTTTTGCTTTCACTGAATGTACAGCACTTGATATACATATTACAATTGTAATATTATTACAGTGATGTATTTTTACTTTGCTTTAACCATCCTTTATGAATTTTAACACAAAGAAGTACTTAGTTAGGGTTTGTTTGTTTTTTTTTAATAATATATGCCCACAAGAAGCTACTTTTCAGGACATCTTTCCTATCCTTTCTGCAATGCTATAAATTATACACATTTACTTGCTTGATTTACAATCTCTGTCACTCCTGAATTTAACCTATTGTACAAAAAACAAAACAAAAAAAAAAACCAAACAAAAAAAACAACAACCCCCCCCCTAAAATTAGAGATAGCTTTTCAATGATATTTTAAGGACCAGGACCTCAGAATCAATAAAAAGCCAAAACAAAACAAAACCTAACAAAACCAACCAGCTTTTAAGTGTACATAACATAACCTGTATGTAAAGTTAGCATTCAACCCACACCTAAGGGAAAGACAAATGTTTTGCTCCCAGTTTGGTCACTGGGCACTGTCATATCCTGTGTAATATCTGATTACTTCAGAAATGACATTTTCATGTCATAAAGTCTAATTCATAGGCAGTTTCAAGTGCTATTTTTAGAGATAACATCCAAGACTAATGAATGCAATACACTAGGAAGTTAATATGACTAAGATGTAAGCATGAAGTTAAATCATGCTGTCTTGTCTACCTGTTCAAGTCATTCTTTTCTTGGCAATAATACACAGTACGAGTAATATTCCTCAACTGATAGTTTATAACCTTTATCTTTGTCTGGTGTGCTTTCACTTAAAACAGTATTTACCACTGACTTAAATACAAAGAGTTCTCCAGTGAAGGGTATTTGTGTGTTGTCATTGTGAACCTTCAGATCCGTGTGTGTATGTACCATTGTGCAGCTGCTACAACTGATATCAGATCAGTCACATTTGCTGTGACTTTAGAGTAAAACTTTCAATTCTTTTGAAGGACAATATCAGGCAGAATAAAGAAAAATACTACTCTGGGCTCATTTCTGTCTTTCGCCTTTCATAGTTTTCTGTGAGATTTCACCTTTTCTCACATTCTATCAGAAACTTCTATTATGCTTTTTTTTTTTTTTTACCTTTGATCCTCAAAATGCTTCAAAGAAACAGAATACAATTATTGTTTTACTACAGGCCCCTTCTCTGCAACAAAAACAAAAAGCAAAGTAACTCTGCCTCATTTACCCCCACTCAGACAGATTTGTGGACTTCTTTCCTCATGAAAACTGAGGTTGAGAGTCTTCAATGCTTTCTTTACCATTTATCTTGAGAGCCTTGCTGACTGCATGTGTAAGGAGTGTTAGGTTTTTGTACAACTTGCTGTAAAGATTTCTTACACAAACTGCAAAACATTTAATAAAAGCTGTTAAGCTGTTGATTTGTCAGATGTTAAGAAAAAAAACATTTTCAATACTCTGAAAAATTAAATTAATAGCAAACAATAAATTTCCCACAGGTAATCTTCTAATACATCTTGCACCAGTGTTTCCTACTGTACTATGGCTTAAAAAGCCATCCCTCTTGAAATTGTCTTACATTTGCATAAAAGAATGACAGGTATAAGCAGATAAACTTTTCAGTGAACTAATTTAGTTAAATTTAAGCACATTAACTTTTGTTTAGTAAAGAATCAGTGAACATAATCATACTATGGAGTCAGGAAATAAGGAATAAACTGATTGTTGTGGAATGTTTGGTTGTTTTTTTTTCCTAAATATTTCTAGGACATTTCAAGTATATTAATATTTGTAAGAGCCCTGAATGTGAACCTTAGAATCTGACAGCTCTGGTCATTTTGGTAAGGTCAACAAAATGCAGACTTTTTTTTTTTTTGGTCCAACATTTGGTATTTTCTCATCCTTTATCATCACGTGAAACAGACATTCTGATGCCTTCCATTAACTGATTCAATGCTAAAAGATATTTGCTCAATAGATGTGTCATTTTTCAAGGTGTACTCATCTTTTCAGAAGTGGGTACATACAAGATGACTAACTTCACAGAGGGTATCTCTCACACAGGCCCATAAAACTGCATCAGCAATGAGCCACCAGTAGTATTCTTCCACTTTCTTCATTACCAGTTTTGTTCAAGCCTTTTATATCTGTATGGTATTTCCATTTCTGCTATCCAAAACAAGTGGTTAAAATGAAAAGCAGGCTTTCACCTCATTTAAAGATGCATACTGAATGAGAAGGGGCATCCCAATGGCTCAGCTGGAGTCCTGAAGAGCAATTTCCATATGGAAATACAAGATACTGATGTTAGTAAAGTTCAAAAGCCAAACAATTCCTTAGCTATTTAATAATTTCTCACAGACTTCATTAGAAACTGGACTGGGAGAAAAGGACTATTGAAATGTGACACACAAAACTGTTCTTAGAAGTACTAATCACACATTCGTAACAAGTTACTTGACAAATGATTCAGTAGGATGTTAGAAAAAAATAACATAGAATAGAGTCATAGAATCATAGAATAGTTAGGGTTGGAAAGGACCTTAAGATCATCTAGTTCAAACCCCCCTCCCATGGGCAGGGACACCTCCCACTAAACCGTGTCACCCAAGGCTCTGTCCAACCTGGCTTTGAACACCACCAGGGATGGAGCATTCACAACTTCCTTGGGCAACCCATTCCAGTGCCTCATCACCCTAACAGTAAAGAACTTCTTCCTTTTATCCAATCTAAACTTCCCCTGTTTAAGTTTGAACCCATCACCCCTTGTCCTTTCACTACAGTCTCTAATGAAGAGTCCCTCTCCAGCATCCCTATAGGCCCCCTTCAGATACTGGAAGGCTGCTATGAGGTCTCCACGCAGCCTTCTCTTCTCCAGGCTGAACAGCCCCAACTTCCTCAGCCTGTCTTCATACAGGAGGTGCTCCAGTCCCCTGATCATCCTCGTGGCCCTTCTCTGGACTTGTTCCAACAGTTCCATGTCCTTTTTATGTTGAGGACACCAGAACTGCACACAATACTCCAGGTGACGTCTCACAAGAGCAGAGCAGAGGGGCAGGATCACCTCCTTCGACCTGCTGGTCACGCTCCTTTTGATGCAGCCCAGGATACGGTTGGCTTTCTGGGCTGCAAGTGCACACTGCCGGCTCATGTTCGTTTTCTCATTGACCAAGTCCTTCTCTGCGGAGCTGCTCTGAATAAAGAGCTAACTTCCTAATGACCTAGAATATATTATTTTCCGTAAGAAAACAGTATGAGCATTAATTTTAAGTCAAGTTGACAGATCTAAATCCAAATCATCACAAACTTGAAAAATAAGTATTTAAGGGTTCTATTAAATAGCCTCAAGAGCTCTTATGTACCTTCATCCCTTTTCCACTCAGCAAACACACTAAGGGAAATGCTCATAAAACAAAATCCCTAAATCTGCACATTCTACTGGGTAAAAAAAAAAAAAAGACAACAAACCAAACCAAACAACAACAATAAAAAAACCCATAAGGATAGAAATGACAA